GTCAGGGAGCCTGGGGGCAATGGTGCCGTCGGGGTTTGAGAGCCATAGCAAAACCACTGGGCCCAAGGGTTAGAGGTGCAGAGCACAACACAGGATCCGTGGGGTGTAGGGCCGGGGGGTGCCTCTCTCGGGTCTGGAGAGCCACGAAGTTTGGGGATACTCTACGAGGCCTGGGCGTGTCCGTGGGGCTTGGGGGTCTACAGGAATCGACAGAGGTGTCTCCACCAGGGAGGAGGTGTGTGTGCAGCAGGCAGAGGGGGCTGCAGGGGCTGAGGACCCCCTCCCAGCCCTCCCTGCCCCACCAGGAAGTGGGGTGCCCCTCCCCCACGCCCTCGCAGGCCCCACCCCTGGCTGTGGTTTGGGCAAAGACGGTTGTTTGTGAAAGAGCTGGGGAAGAGGATGTTGGGTAACAGGTGTGGGCGGGGCAGGGCACCAAATCTCAGCCCTCTGACCTCTGGCCTCTGATCCCCGTGGGGTCAGGCCGAAGACCCTCCGGAGCCCCGCTGTACTTCTGGGGAAACTGAGGCGGTGCCCGGGCCAGAGCACCTGCGTCACCCTCCTCCCCCGCCTTCCCAGGAGCTGCCCAGGAAAGACGGGGCTGATGTGTCCCTCGGACCCAGCCTGGAGCCACCAGGCGCAGCCTCAAATGCCAAGGCCACGGGTACACTCAAGCGGCCCACCAGCCTGAGCCGCCATGCCAGCGCTGCTGGCTTCCCGCTGTCCGGATCCAGCACCTGGACGCTAGGCCGGGGCCACCGCAGCCCTCTGACCACCACCAGCCCCGCCGAGCTGCCCCCTGAGGGGCCGTGCCCCGACACCGTGGAGGACATCTCCCACCTGCTGGCCGACGTGGGCCGCTTTGCCGAAGGCTTGGAGAAGCTCAAGGAGTGCGTTCTGCATGAGGGTGAGAAGCGGCAGGGGCCCCGGGGCCTGGGTGGGGGGTCAGCGAGGCTCAGAAGGCGATGCCACCGCAGCTAGGGCTCCGAGGGGTGTGTAGGAGTTGGGTGGCCACCAGGAGAGAAAGGCACCGGGGCAGAGGGAACGTCACGTGTGCAAGCTCAGACCCAAGATGGAGATGTGCTTAGGGGAACAGGTTTCGGGGTGTGTGAAGTGTGTGGTGAAGGACCCCAGAAGTGATCCTGCGGGCAATGGGGGACCACAGGAAGTGTCAGAGCCGGGGCTGGACAAGGTCCGCCCTGCAGGTTGGAACCCGCGTGGACTGGAGGTGGGCTGAGGTCTGGCCGGGGACAGATTCGGGGGGGATGAGGGGGAGCCAGTGGCCTGCGGGATGGAAGTTCCGTTTTCTCCTGCGTGCGGCGCTGACGGCCCAGCTTCCTGCCGAGTTATTTTCATCCGCTTCCTGTTTGTCCCTGGCACCTCGTGCGCAGCCCGTGGCCCTGCCCGCTCCTCCCAGAAACCGCAGTGCCAGGACCGTGCCAAGTGCTCTGACCCGCTCCCCCAGGCGCCCGCTTTACAGATGAGGAAACAGAGGCCCCTCGTCGGGCCCTGACCCCCGGCTCTTCCAGCCAAGGAGGGGCGGGAGCTGGGATCCGACCTTCCCGGCAGCGGAGGCCTGGCCCTGCCGGTCGGGAGGTGGGAGCCCCCCAGGGTTATCTGGTCCAGGCGGGGGCCGGAGCTGTTTCCTGGGGAAACTCTCTAATCTCAGTTCCTGGTTCCTCTCGATCCTGATCCCTCTGCTTCCTTGGAGGCCGGGCCTGGGCGGGGCCGAGCCAGGCTGCGTCCTGAGGGAGGTTGGGCCCGGGGCAGGGGCGCCCTTCTACCCGCTTTGGGCACCTGCGAGAGAGGATGTGGGTTGAGTCTGGGCCCTTCCCCTGCTGGGCCTCCTCCTCTGAGCTCAGGTGTCTCTTCTGTGAAATGGGGCCACGACGGGGCCTGCGGGGTAGCTGGCGGGGGTCCGATGTCCTCGGCGTATTGTGATGGTTGTGAGGACAGTAAGACCCACTCTGGGTGGAGCCCCAGGTGAGGAGACAGTGCAGGGTCCCCTGGTCCGGCTGGCAGCACGTCCGGGGCGCCTGGGCTTTGCGGGGCCGGGGCAGGTGCAGGTGTGGGGAAGGACCTTCTCGGGAAGGGGTGTGCCTGTGCCCCCCGCCCCCCATGGCTGGCTTCCCTGGCTTCCTGAAGCCACCCCCCCCCTCCAAGTCGTCTTAGGCAGC